ATTTTTTAACCAGTTTTTGTCTCTTGAATGAATTTGTATATGAATGTATGCAATCAGTTCGTTATGGTCTGCCTAAACTTGTTGGCTCTTGACTATTTCTGATTTATTGATATATTTGCTGAGGTGAAAGCTGGACATATTATAGCTTGGTCTAAGTGAATTTGGAAGGGGAGTTCTTGAAATATTAAACGATGAATTAAGGTTGTTTCCTAGTGCGTGTGTGTGTGTGTGTGTGAGTGCGTGTTAATAGACGCTGCAGGTTCGTGGCGTTTGGACAGTGTATGTAAGCACAACGTTGTTGAGTGCTAAATGATGTCTGCTAACATATTGCTTGGGACATAATTTGGAGATTCCCTCAAGAGAAAGTGCTTTTCAAGGCACTTTTCGCAATGGGAGTAAGAGGAGAATGAGCTTGCGCCACTACTGCTTAAATTGGTAGCTTCGATTGATCTAAGCTGTTTGTAATATATAAAGGCAACAAGTGGGTAACATTTAATCAATTTTAACTAGTGTTCCTTAATTTCGTTTTGACAACAAAGTTGGGTAGCCCAAAGAGCTGAAAACTAAAGTTGATTGAACGAGTTATCATTGAAATGGGATTTTGAGCGGCAACATAATATTTGAGTAGTGAGTTGCATTTCAAATAAAGTTGGATGAAAATTGTATTGTTTGAGCAGGGACAATAGAGCATTGACGGTGTATAATCGCAGGAATAAATATTAGCTCAGTGCGTCTGTATCCTTAAATATCTATAAGAAAAATAAAATTTGTCGGATATACAAATATCTGCTTTAAAATTATTAGCCAGAAAAATCCGAACCTTATCCATAAGCTGAGATTCGGAAAATAAAGCTAGCGTTAAAAGATCCATAAGCCATATATATTCATAACCTTTCGAAAGGGTGATATACGATGGAAATTAAATATATCTCAACTTTACAGCAAAATATCAATCAGAAAGGGATAAGAATCATTCATATAAGGTACTTAATATTAATACTAGTGGGATATGAAATGAAATATCGAAGAATGCAGCATTATTTCTTTAAAGTGTCAAATATGATAAACATTGATTCTTACAAATATTTCAATTATTTCTTTTACTGGTATGCTTTATAAGTCAAATTTCGAATTTAAAAATTATTTAAAAATATTGCCTTAATAATATCTAAATTAACAAACGTTGTATATTTGACCTAAACTCGCGGGTACTCTAAATTGTTTGGACATTGGTGTCTATTTGAAGGTCAGTCTTAGCATACTTTTCGCAGTTTATTCCAAGTCGTGTTACAATGCAGTCGGATCTTAAAGCAAAGGTTGATGAATGGCTTGCGTGGGATAAGGTAGAATTTTAATTTTTTGAGTTTCTATCGTTAAGAATGACAATACTCGCAAAGAAATCGAAGCGATGGCTTCTTCTCCTTCTCGTTTTGAAGAACTGAAAAAACTTATGATGAATAGGATGGAATTTGGAACGGCTGGTCTCCGATCAAGAATGGGTCCTGGTTATTCACAAATGAATGATCTCACAATTGTGCAAACTGCGCAGGGGTTATTGAAGTACTTGGAGGAGAAACACCCCACATTGAAACCTCGTGGCATCATTGTTGGTTATGACGGCCGACATAATAGCAAAACATGGGCTTGTATTACCGCAAATATTTTTGTTCGCTCCGGGTGGAAGGTCTACTTGTTCCGTAACGTCAATCCCACTCCCTACCTTGCCTACGGTGTTCGCCACTTCAAGACGGCATGTGGTGTTATGGTTACTGCTTCACATAACCCTAAGGACGACAACGGCTATAAGGTCTACTGGGAAAATGGTGCGCAGATCCTCTCTCCCCATGATAAGGGTATTGCCACCTCGATATCCAATAGCCTCGAACCCCGCCCTACTTCTTGGGAGTATCATGATGTTATGAACCATCCACAATGTCTCAATCCCATGCCTGAATTAGAAGATACTTACTTAAAGATCCAAAAGGAAAACCTTTGTTTCACTGAAGAAGAAAACAAGAAATCTGATGTGAAAATTGTTTACACTGCCATGCACGGCGTTGGATATCCCGCTGCGAAGAAAATTTTTGAGACTTTTGGATTCAAGCATATGACTCCTGTTGAAGAGCAGGTATGTTAAACTATCATAGATCTATACCTATTTCCCTAGATCCTTCCTGATCCCGAGTTCCCAACTGTCAAATTCCCGAATCCCGAAGAAGGTCGCTCGGCGTTGAATCTTGCTATGTCAACTGCTGATAAAAATGGCGCTAAAATCATCTGTGCTAATGATCCTGATGCTGACCGTATGGCTGTTGCTGAAAAATTGCCTAAGTATGTGCCGTTACCTGATTATGCTCGTTTTAAAATTAAAAATTGGCCCCACCATTCTTTCTAACTACTAACTGGCACGACACACTGTTCAAACCATGCACTCATTCTTTATGCTATTTAAATAATGGTGATACCAAGTAGATTTTATGCTCTTTAGTCTAAGCCCTTTCATGATTATCTCATTTTAGCGGTACTTGGAAGATTCTTAATGGAAACGAACTTGCTACGGTCCTCGGATGGTGGATCTGGATTAACTGGCGCAAACGCAATCCTACTGCTGATTGTGTGTCTTCTCACTTCATTTTATAACACATAAATCATTTTCAGTATTTTTTAATAATGCATTTATTTGTAGTGTCCAAAGTCTACATGCTGTCTAGCACCGTATCTTCGAAAATTCTCAGGGCTATTGCGAAAAAGGAGGGCTTTAACTTCGAAGAGACGCTTACCGGTTTCAAATGGATTGCCAACAAAGCCTACGATATCATGCAAGAAGGTGGAGAGGTTATTTTCTGCTTCGAAGAAGCCATTGGTTTCATGTGCGGAACCACCGTCCTCGACAAAGATGGTATTGGTACATTCGCCGCTGTCTGTGAAATGGTATCCCATCTCTATAGCAACAACATCTCTCTTGTCCAACAATTGGAAAATGTCTTTGAAATGTTAGCCTTTTTTCCAAACTGATATTTATGCTTTTTATGTGTTACTAATATGAATTTTGTCTTTTCCAGATATGGAAAACACGTATCAAATAATAGCTACTACTTTTGCTATGAGTCTCCAAAGATAGTTAAGATGTTTGAGCGTTTGCGTCATATGCCTGAAATCGGTGGCTACCCTCAAACACTCGGTAGATTCAAGATTACCGGTCTTCGTGATTTGACTGTTGGCTATGATTCCAATTACTCTGATAAAAAGGCCCGTCTCCCTGTTAGTGCCTCGAGCCAAATGATTACATTTAGCTTCGATAACGATGTCGTTCTAACTATCCGTACTAGTGGCACTGAACCAAAAATCAAGTACTACTCCGAATTATGCGGCAAACCCAATGACAAGTACGTTTTGTCTGGTCTAAGACCCTTGAAACATTACTGACGCCCCTTGTATACACATATTTTGTCGTTATAGGCGCTTAATGTCTGAGCTGGATTCTGAATTGGCTGAGCTTATTGGCTTGATGGTCGAGGAGTTTTACCAACCTGATGTGAACGGTTTCACCGCCAGGTCAGACTAAACCCATCCCCGCCTCCATTTCTGTCCACTCCTTTCGTTTTCCATGCTTTTTAGTAGCGTTTGTGTCTCTCTCTCGTGTTGGAAATAAAGTAATTCTAGTGCGATACAGGCTTCTGATCTCTTCATATTTCTGCTCTACTGGTTAAATGTGAACTTATGATGAATGGAAGAGAGCACTTAAGCGCCAAAAGGGTGGTATTTCTAAGTTGTTTGAAGTACTAAAGAATAGTCTGTTTAGTACTTACATAAGTACTGGGGTGCTATTTGCAAAGAATCCTACTAGCCAAATATTTGCTCTTATTCAAAGTATTTGGGAGGCAAGACACTGGTGAGAATATTTTGAGATAAGTCTTTGCGCAGGTCTGACGAAACATTGGCGCAGACGATCTACCGTGCAGCTTTAGTTTGCATCTAGCTTAGTTTAATAATGGGACAATAGGTATTATAAGTTCCACAAAAGAAGTATAAATATGTAGCGGATTTCTACCTTAGTAAAGCCTGACCGACTCAGAAATCTCTATGGCCCTAAGTAAAGCCTGACTGACTTAGAAATCTCTATGGCAGATTCTCTTAGCTAGACCGACTCAGAAATCTCCATGGCAGATTCTCAAACATCTAGCTACCGGCTCAGAAATTTCTATGGCAGATTCTCCAACATCTAGCTAGGAATCAGAAATCTCTATGGCAGATTCTCCAACCTCTAGCTAGAGAACAGCTAAGCTATAGCTCAGCTATAAAGAAAACAGACGTGTAGCACGGAGCGCGTTTATATCTGTGGCAGATTCTCCTACATCTAGCTAGACTCCCAGAACGGCAGATTCTCCAACGTCTAGCTAGACTCCCAGAACCAGTTTAGCTATAGCCCAGCTATAAAGGAAACAGACGTGTAGCACGCACGTTTATTCAGGACGTATATTGCGGATCAAGTGTACCCGCTTATTCAGGACGTATATTGCGGATCAAGTGTGTACACACAGAGTATATTGTGGATAAAGTGCACACGCAGGAACGTATATTGCGGATCAAGTGTACACGCAGGGAGCTACTCATATCAAGGATGGCGGATTAGGTTAAACAAACAGAGGTTAATGATTGGTCACTGTTTGTACGGTCGCACCTCCCAAACTTGGCGTGCAGGCATGCGATGACGTGTCCCACAAATAACATTATCTTCTAGCTAAATATAACCATTTTCAAAGTATACAATGATGGTCGATTTTGGGCACAAAACAATACTATGTACGTTGCATTATCCTTAAATAGAATGTATTTACATTTTTTCGAATCGTTTCTGAAATGATGGCAAAATGAGGATGCGAAAGAGCGAATTCGGGAAGAAAAAAGGCATAAGACGGATGAGGAATCATGCACCTTCCTTTCATCGCATTATTTGCCATGCAGTACAACTCTATGGTATAGATGCAATAGAAAAATCAGTTGTGTCTTGATGAATCTGGAGCTAAAATGAAATGGAGTTCTTCTGATTAATTCCCTCCACCTAACAGTGAACTGACTTCCTCCTCTTAAGCCATTTGTGAATGTTTTCCCCTGGTGAAAAGTTGCAAAATTCCATGCCTCTGCCACAGGAAATATTTGTGTTGAAAGTTCCTGCACTGTGTTTCCGAGATGCTTGAGTCCGACTTATTTCAAAAGCCTTGTTACTGACATTCGCTTCCAATACAATGGTGTACGAGTGTTACCTGTCACAGTAATTGACAATTTGCGTTGGCATAAAGCGCCTTCGTAGAACCGCTCAACCTCTCTACTCAGACAGTTAAAAAACGAGACCGCTTATAGGAATGCTTGCCAAGTTCATTAGACGGCAAAATGGCCTTAATATACTCTAGTTCTTACATTGAAGACGGGCTAAAAAGGAAAAATGAAGGTTAATTATTTAAGAGACCCGTAAACGTGTTATTTAATCATTAAAAGGGCCCATTTGTTTGGAATCTAATAGTATAGCAAAGGAGTGAAGAAATTCATCAAATTGAAGTAAAATGAAACTGATATCTGAGATTAGATAATAAGATGAGTTTCTTATTTGCATATCGCGTCATGTCAGTAGAGGATTGCTTCATTAATAAGCCTTGATTATACCCAGAAATCTCCATAGCAGATTCTCCCATACTTGGAATGACTCCCAGAGCTAGCTAAGCTACCTCAAAGCTAAAGAGGAAATAAACGTATGACGTGGAACACGTTTATTTGGTATGGCGTGCTATGTGTTAGTGCAATGTCACGGTGACGTGAACTTAACCCTTATGTAAACTTAGTGACTTTGGCCATTTATTGGTTGAGAGGCTTCTGCTCTTGTCAGGCTAAAACTTTGTTCCCACATATCTCAGGCAGATTCCCGGACTTTGATCCGCATATTTTAAACTGAATACAAGTTATTTTATAAAATACCAAAGCTGAGTTTTCTATATTAATGAATTTAGGGAATCGATCCGCTTTTGACATGTTTCACACTCTATCACAATTAATTTTAAATTACAATTTTAAACATAATACAAAACTGAGAACCACGTAGACTAGATCTGCAGCTGATACTACCCAAGCAAGCCTTGGCTAAACCTCAGCAAGCTCTATAGTAAATTCATCTGATATAAAATTATTTCCAATAGTAGCTAAATTACCTCAGCAATATCGAGGACCCAAAGCGTATCAAATAAAGAGCACAAAGTTTTGGTATTAAAATACAATAAAGACTTTGATAAACAAAGGGAGGAGGGACTATTAATTGGTGGTTGGATATGAAGTCTGCACTCAGGCAGCACTTGATGCCTATAGACTTGGTAGCACGGTTCCCGTTCCAGGATGTACGAGTTCGGATGAAATTCCTTGATGCAGTCATGTTAACATTGCGTTATACACGGATCGTAGGATTGACAAAGGCTGTTGTTTAGTCATATGTTAAACAGCCAACTATTGCAGTCCTTCAAAATCTTAGGTTTGAAACAAAACCAATAGTTATTTTTGACTAATAATGTGATATTGCAACCGAATTTAAACATCTGCGAATTTGTTTGCGGTAAAGATATCCAACTTGAAATTTTAAGTAATCCAGATCTTTTCTGACCCCAATCATAAAAGTCATTCAAAATTCGTTATCATTGAGTAGTAAACACTTGATTTTGACACCACATTGGTTTTTGCTTGATTTGGTGGAGCATACGAAGGAATCACATATGCGCAAGAGCATTCTGGAAATTGAAGACGTGTGTGTGTGTAGTAAGCTCTCAGTGAAATGAGAATTGATTTTATGCAACGTGGCCTAACATTGGGTGGAGTTAATGGCTAATCAGGCTGTCAGTTAACTCACATTTGAAATCCACGCCCTTTCACTTTACTTGAGTTAGCTTTGATAGTTTTGAAGGCAATTTGTTGAATCAAATGCCAAACTTTTTTGGCAATCAGATATTCGCTGCCTCTACAAGTCTGTTCGTTTATTTACTTTAAACGTCCAGAAAGGAAGTCAGATTTAATCACCTCATTACCTAAAGTTATGACTGAAACAGAAAAGAAATTCATTTGCTGGATCAACGAAGATGCAACACTAAGTTGAAGTGCATGGGGTATGCGATAGACTTACCTCCACGTGGTGCACCCTGGGCAACGTATACTCAAGTGGCAAAAAATTCTATTAACTGGCAGCTGACTTCTGACTTCAAACTACCCCCACCCCATTGTATGTCATATTCGACTTCTTTCACACTACTCACCTCACCTTTTCCCACTTTTGTGTCTGTCTCTTTTGCATCTTTGAAACTCTTTTGTTCCCCCTCTCCCTCTCGACTTTTTCACTTTAATGTTCCTCCTCCTCCGTGAAGCCTGAAGTCAACTAAAGGGCTAATGATTACTATTAAAACGCCTGCCATTTAAAATAAATAAAAAAGTTGTAGTGCATATTTAACAGCTATACTCATCGCCGCTCATACTTTCCTTGAAATTAACTTTTAATAAGGTCGCGTTTCTGTACAATTCAGATATATTTTCATATTTTGACTCACAGCCATTAAAATTATCTCTTATCGCCACATTATCAGATTCAGTTTATGCGTTTAATTTTTATGTTACGATCGCCGTCTACAATTTGGCACCCTAGTTCGTACATCCTGTGTTTATAGGGAGGGGCTCGGCTTAATTTATGGAAAAAATAAATTTCTATGCGGGATGTGCGATAGACTTACCTCCACGTGGTGCACCCTGGGTAACGTATACTCATACGGCAAAAAAGTCTATTAACCGGCATTTGACTACGATAGACTTACCTCCACGTGGTGCACCCTGGGCAACGTACTTTCTTACGGCAAAAATTCTATCACTCGGCATTCGTTTTTCAATAGACTTACCTCCACGTGGTGCACCCTGGGCAACGTATAATCATACGGCCATACGGCAAAAAAAGTCTATTAACTGGCAGTTGACTTCTGACTCAATAAAAAAGTCTATTATTCGGCAGTTGACTTCTGACTTCAAAGCGGCAAAAAAGTCTATAAACCGGCAGTTGACTTCTCACTATCGGCAAAAAAATTCTATTAACCGGCAGTTGACTTCTGACTTCAACGCAAAAAGGTCTATTAACTGGCAGTTGACTTCTCACTTCACAAAAAAGTCTATTAACCGGCAGTTGACTTCTGACTACTCAAACGGCAAAAAAGTCTATAAACCGGCAGTTGACTTCTGACTGAAAAGGTCTATTAACTGGCAGTTGACTTCTGACTTCAAATAAAAGTCTATCAATCGGCAGTTGACTTCTCACTTCAAACTAAAGTCTATTACCTGGCAGTTGACTTCAAACTACCATGAGTAAGTCTATTAACTGGCAGTTGACTTCTGAGTTCAAACTATCATGACCCCAAGTCTATTAATCGGCAGTTGACTTCTGACTTCAATTACCATGATCTATTAACTGGCAGTTGACTTCTCTATGTCATATTCGAAGTCTATAAACCGGCAGTTGACTTCAAACTATCGGCAAAAAAATTCTATTAACCGGCA